AGACACCTACGACCAGAAGACGGCAATATAGATACCAACCTTACCAACGTCCACGCTACCCCGCATTTACACAACACTCCCATAGACCACAGGACAACAACAACAACAACAACAACAACAACGCCAGAGACCAAGATTCCAGCGTCGTCGTCCCAATTCTGCGGGGGCGCCTCAACCCCTTCCAACTAATAGGCAGATTTGAAGCCTTGGTCGAGGGTTTAGAAAACAGCGTTCCCACTTCAGCCAGCACACATATCTTTGGACACCGCCTACGACCATTCTCCCACCAATGGCAGAACATTACCTCCGACAAGTGGGTTATAGAGGTGATTACAATTGGATACACCATCCCCTTCCTCTCCTTGCCTCCCACCCACCCACCCTCCCCGTCCCTCTTCAGGGACCCTTCTCACGAGCGACTACTTCTCCAAGAAGTGCAACATCTCCTTCAACTGGGATCAATAGAAATTGTGCCAGAACAACACAAAGGAAAGGGTTTTTACTCCCATTATTTCTTAACAGAAAAGAAAACTGGGGGATGGCGACCAATCCTCGACCTCAAGCGGCTCAACAAATTTGTCAAAAAGCAAAAGTTCAAGATAGTTACTCTCACCACCATAATCCCAGTGCTGGAGCAGGGCGATTGGTTTTCAGCCCTCGACCTACAGGACGCCTATTTTCATGTGACTATACACCTGGCCCACAGACGCTTCCTACGTTTTACTCTTGGCTCAACACATTTTCAATACAGGGTTCTTCCCTTCGGACTGTCCACGGCCCCCTGTGTTTTTTCCAAGATCCTAGCCGTAGTTACTGCCTACCTCAGAAAACAAGGGGTCGTAATATTTCCTTACCTCGACGATTGCCTCCTCAAAGCCTCAACGTTCGACGAAGCTCTCCGATCCACGCGGCTTACCGTCGATTGTTTCCTATCTCAAGGCCTGCAAATAAACAAAAACAAATCCACATTATGCCCCACCCAACATCTGGAGTTCATAGGGGCATACCTCGACTCCCGGACGGGATTGGCATCTCTTCCACCCGACCGCTTCACCTCCATAAGCCGACTGGCCACAAAAATTCGCAACAATCCCCAGGTGACTGTCCGAGACTGTCTACAAATACTAGGTCACATGGCCTCGTGCACTTTCATCGTCCAAAATGCACACCTCTACATGAGGTGTTTCAAAGCGTGGTTGGCCACGGTTTACAGACCGAATGTGCACTCTCTAAACAAGACTCTTTCCATACCTTTCCGAGTCAAAGATTCTCTACTGTGGTGGACAGTTCACTCCAACCTCTGCTCTGGAGTCTCCTTTCTTCAGGAGGCTCCGTCCCTCATACTGACTACCGATGCATCTCTGACAGGCTGGGGTGCACACATGTCTCACCACACAGTCCAGGGGCTATGGTCTTCAACCGAGACCTCTCTGCACATAAATGTCCTAGAACTTCGAGCCATTCGCAATGCGTGCCGTCACTTTCTTCCACTAATCAGGAATCACGATGTACGCATAATGACAGACAACATTGCATGCATGTTCTATGTAAACAGGCAGGGAGGAGCTCGATCCCACTCGCTTTGCACACAGGCTACGAAGCTCTGGAATTGGTGCATTGTGAACAACATCCGGGTATCAGCTGCCTATCTTCCCAGAGTGATGAACACCACAGCGGACGAACTAAGCAGACGCTTTCCCTGGGATCATGAATGGGAGATAGACGAGAAAACCATTCACAACATATTCCGCATTTGGGGTCACCCAACCATAGACCTTTTTGCAACTGCAAAAAACAAGAAATGTTCCGACTTTTGCTCCAGAGCGGGCCTGGGCAAACATTCCCTGGGAGACGCATTCATGATCCCATGGCACTGAAACTTACTCTATGCGTTTCCCCCAATACTGGTTCTCAACAGGGTCCTGATAAAAATACGAACAGACCGTGCCAAGGTGATCCTAATTGCCCCGTCGTGGCCCAGACAACCGTGGTTTCCGTTCCTCACCAGAATGTCGATTCGACCACCAATCTCGTTGCCTCTCCTCCCGAACCTCCTATCACAACAACACGGCCGATTTCTCCACCCCAACCTGTCCATGCTTCACCTCAAAGCCTGGTTCCTACATGGTTCTCCCAAAGCGAACTAGATTGCTCTGAACAAGTTCAAAGAGTGCTCCTACATAGCAGAACACAATCTACTCGCACCACCTATCTACGAAAGTGGAAACGATTCACACATTGGTGTTCAGCTAAACAACTTTGTCCCACGTCGGTATCTCTCTCGCTCATACTTGATTATCTATTGGACCTTAAGCGATCCGGCCTTTCTTTCAGCTCCATCAGAGTCCATTTAGCTGCTATTACAACTTTTCATGACAAAATTGATGATACTTCTGTTTTTGCTCATCCAATCACCAAGCGTTTCCTCAAGGGACTCCAAGCCCTATACCCAGACATTAAACCACCTACCACCCAGTGGGACCTTCATTTAGTACTATCTTGCCTAACTCAACAACCATTTGAACCCCTAGCCACGTGCTCCCATTTACACCTTTCGATGAAAACAGCATTTTTAGTGGCAATTACCTCCGCCAGACGGGCAGGGGAAATAGCAGCTCTTATGGCAGACCCACCATATACGCTATTTTTCAAAGACAAGGTTACTCTCAGATTACACCCCAAATTTCTTCCTAAGGTGCATTCGTCATTCCACATTAATGAGCCAATACACCTACCAATCTTTTTTCTGAAACCACATGCGAACTCGTTTGAAGCTACAATGCATACATTAGATGTATGCAGGGCCTTGTCCTTCTATTTGGATAGAACCAAACCTTTTAGAAACTCTTCTAGACTTTTTGTCTCCATCGCGGAACGTTCCAAAGGTTCCCCTATTTCTACCCAGAGGCTTTCAAACTGGATTTCTCAGTGCATCCGGTTGTGCTATCAGATGAAGAAGGTTACACCTCCAGACGGCATCAGAATGCACTCCACTAGATCTCTGGCTGCCTCTGTAGCATTCTTACGCAAAGTTCCCCTGGCTGATATTTGTAAAGCAGCCACTTGGTCCTCTGAGCACACATTTGTTAAACACTATGCCCTTACTCAAGGCCCCCTTTCTGATATACGTTTGGGCAGGGCTGTACTATCTACGGCATTCCTATCAGATCCGAAGTCCCTACCTCCTTGAGACACACTGCTTTTAAGTCACCTGGAATGGAGCACCCACAGGGACATCTCTCGAAGAAGAAGAGGAGGTTACTCACCCTGTGCAGTAACTGACGTTCTTCGAGATGAGTGTCCCTGTAGGTGCTCCACTACCCACCCTTCTCCCCTCTACTTCGGAGTTGGGGTAGCCTCCATTGTAGAGAAGGAACTGAGGAGGCCGGCCACGCATGCATACTATTAAGCTAGACTCACAGCGGGGAGGCAGCCTCTGCGCATGCGTGGCCGGTACGAGTACTGCTACAAAAATCTCCGAGCAAAGGCGCAGGGACGCACCAACACCTGGAGTGGAGCACCCACAGGGACACTCATCTCGAAGAACGTCAGTTACTGCACAGGGTGAGTAACCTCCTCTTCATTCATTTTCTGATATAGCTGTAAAACTAATCTGAAAAGTTTTCAAAATAAATCACTGTTTAAAAATCTATAGTGTGTATCTTCTAAAAATGAAACCTACATCTATCTCTGAGTTGTGAAGAATATGTATTAAGGTTATAACAACCAACAAGACCGCACTTTTATGTAGAAAACCATGATTAAATCGAGTCTTCCTGACTAGAGATTTAAATCAATTTAATTTAAATCAAATCCACCCTGCTCCTCTGTGTTGCAGCTGTCTCAATCTCCTGGAGATGAACATATATTTTCATTACTTTGCTTGTATTCTCTTTATTAATTATATCCATATTCTCTGGTGCATGAATCTTTTTGGTGGCAGGCTAATCTTACTTGTGTAGCAAGAGAATGGCTCTGTTCTTACTTCATTGTATTTTGTGGTGGAAATCTCTGCCACAAGGAACAAATCATAGTGCTGCTCGTTCCTAATATAAACTGGAGTAAGATTGTCGTTCTCTTTTAATAGATTTTTCCCATTACTTTTTTTTGGCCTGTACTATACCTGTGTATGTAAATATAAATGCTGGAAAACACTGATGTAGAAAAGTGAAATAACTTTGAATATTTTGTTATGGTTAAAGGGATGTTATCAGGTGAAAAATCATACTTAACAAAATCTGACCAGTTATACATAACCCATTATACTAAAATTTGAAATAATTTTCTAGTTTTAGTCCTCACAATTAATAGTGTTCACTTACTTCTTTCATTATTGTACTTTCCTTGTGGACCATAAAAATAGACATCCGGTTCACTTTTTGGCCCTCAAGCATTCTCATAATGTTGCAAAGTTTGGGTTGCAAACATAGTAGGGAAATGCTTAAATCCAAACAAAGTAGTATTTTCATTGGATTTAAAAACAAATAAACCACAGATGTTACTGAACTTATGTTTTGGGTCTAACTTGACCTGAGAATATTCTTAAAGAATATTAAGTGTACTTTTAATCAGATCTGGTCAATGAAAGATTATGAAATATTCTCTGATTTTCCCACTTAATTATTGTGTGCTTGAGTTGATAGAATTTACTTCTACAGTAAATAAGTATAAACTATATTACACCTCTACCCCGATATAACGCTGTCCGCGGGAGCCAAAAAATCTTACCGCGTTATAGGTGAAACCGTGTTATATCGAACTTGCTTTGATCCGCTGGAGTGCGCAGCCCCGCCCCCTTCCCCGAGCACTGCTTTACTGCGTTATATCCAAATTTGTGTTATATCGGGTCGCATTATATCGGGGTAGAGGTGTAATATTTTATTCTGCGATCACATATGTGGAAGATTAACTCTTTTATATGTAACTGTTGAATATGAGCATTCACAGTGTTGCATGTAACATACTAATGCAATTTTCAACCTTTTTTTCTTTTCATATAGCACCATTGAACCTCTGTATTTCACCTATGGAATCTTATTTGCCTGTGGTTGTTCATTTGCATACCAGCCATCCTTGGTCATTCTGGGGCACTATTTCAAGAAGCGCCTTGGACTAGTGAATGGCATCGTCACTGCCGGCAGCAGCTTGTTCACTGTGTCATTGCCTTTCCTTTTAAGAGTGTTGATTGATTCAGTTGGCCTGTACAACACTTTAAGGGTCCTGTGCATCCTTATGTTTGTTCTTTTCCTGGCTGGCTTCACTTACAAACCCCTCATTTCCAGTGCAAGTGACAAAGAGGGTGGAAAGAAGGGCATGTTGAGATTTCCTCCTGCAAAGAAGATTTTCAGTTTCTCCATTTTCAAGGTTACGGGTTATCGAATCTGGGCTTTTGGAATCCCTGCTGCACTTTTTGGATACTTTGTGCCTTATGTTCACTTGGTAAGTGCACATCTTTTACTATGTTTAGTTTATTTAAAAAATCTATTGCCTTTATATTCTGGACTAAGAAAATCACTGGTATTAGGAATATGTAACATCTAAGTTGTACTGTGGAGGATCACGTGGCTTGTGTTCTAATGTTGTCTGCAATTAGGAGACATTCTAGCTGTCAATCAGAACCTTTACACTCTCTTAGTCTGGAGCCAGTTTAATTTTTAGTTTCTTATTTTCTCCCCTGAGGTTGTATAGAGGAGGAAAAGGAAAAATATTTTAACTGCACAAGAAAGCCTCTGGGTAGTATTCTGTTTCACTTCAAATGAATTTTGTACTATTGACTGAACAAAATTGTTTGGTTTTTTTTAAGGCCCTGAACAGTAAACATTGCCAATTACACTGTATATTTATGTATCATTTGAGTGAGGATAGTGACTGGATGTTGCATATTAGAGTTCAGAGCAGTACTGAGAATATACTTTAGAATATACAAATATTATGCTTTGGATTTATTGGATACTTTATGAAAAAACACTCCTGCAGATAACAAAATAGGGAGATTTTGATCATGAATGTAATGAAAGAATTAAAATATATTGCAGAAAAAAAGTTGATTTCTAGTCCATGCTTAATTTCCCATTTTGATTGATATGTCAGCAGTATTATTAACTAGAGCTTTGCTAAAAATTTGCACTGCCAGTACATCAATTTTTTAATAATTATTTGCTAGTTTTGTTAGAAGTAAAATATTTGGGCTATATCTTGCCTTTCCCTTTGAAATTTTGTAATAATAAATATGAAAAAGGAAATTCCAAATTTCGTATAACTCCAGTAGTAACATTCCCATTCCCATTTTCATGGGTTTATAACTGCTAGGGTTAGTGCTTCTTTAGGATAGTTCCTATCTCTACAATAACTAATAGAACCTGGAGCTATGGTGCCATAGAAGCTGTCAGTCATCTACATCTTGTGCATGTACTTCAGTTACTTTGTCTCTACAGCAAAAAAAAAATACTGCTCCTTCACCTTCTTCTCCGCCTACAAAGTTCTTACTCTAATGATATTTGGTGCAACTTGGAGGCACCTTACATGAACTTCATCCAACTGGACAAGCATCACATTTCTTAGTGAGTTATTTTTGAGCAGCTTCCTAACTGGGGCTGTCGAGCCTGAAGTGATGGACTTGCAAAGCAAAGGACTTAGGCCTGTTCTACACTTAAAAAAAATTAGATTCACCTAGCTGCCATGCTCAGGGCTGCGAAAAAATTCTAACCCCTAGTGCAGACATGGGTAGGTTGATGAAATAGTGGGTAGGTCGATGAAATTTCTGTTGACATAGCTACCACCTCTCAGCGAGATGGATTAACTACACTTTGGAAGAACTCTTACGTCGATGTCGGAAGAATATGCAATACAAAGGTTCAGTGCCGTAGGTATGCCACTGTAGCATCTGTAGTGTAGGCATATCTTTAAAAGAAATGAATCAGAAGGGATGAATTGATTATTCCGTTCCACAGCCTCTTCAGCAAATTTACACTAAGAATGTTTGATAAAGAGCAGCCACTACTAGGGTTGCCATCTATCATGGAAAAAATCAGGATTGCTTCAGTTTTCATTAATTTGTCTGACATAAGTAAGTAACTTGATGCAAAAAGAGTTTTATTTAAAATATGCCTATATACAACATAGTGGGTGACAAATTATGATGTCATGATGTTGTATTACTTTGTGGCAATGAATGCATCAAATACATGAAATGATTCTGCATGAAAAATGTCACTGCTGGTATTAAATTAATGTATTATAAGCAGGCAATGATTTGAATTTTTGATTGACCAAAAATTGTGACTTGTTTTTGGTTACTTTGTTATAATTGTATTATTAGTGGTTTTACTGTGTGCCTATTCTTATGTAGACTGTATTTCTTCAAAATAGTGAGTAAATCCTTTTTTAAACAAATCCCATGTAGTGTAATTGCAGACTAGATACCATATAAGGTAGAAATAGTGAGGCACTGGACTTTTGTTTGCTTTGAGTTCTCTAGCTGCTCCAGTAAATGACAGAGCTCAAGAAGCAAGCAAAATAAATTTTTAAAAAATCTAATTTGATGCCTTCCTTGTATGTGTGAGGAACTAGCAATAACCAAATACATGAAAATTACTAAACACACCTTAAAACTTCTTCAGAATTCTGAAAGACAAAGCTAACATACCTGCCATCACTAAGGTAAATTGGGTTATACAAAATACAGGCAAAAATTATGACAATCTTTTAACTAGCCAAAAGTACTGCATAAGAGATTCTCAGCTCTATTAGGATGCTTGTAAATGGGTGTTGCTTGGGCCCAAGATTTGATTGAACCCACAAGTAGAGTTGGGGGGAAAAAGACACAGCTTACTGATTTAAAATAGTTTATTCTGTTTATTATGTGCTTTCATATATATAGATGGTCGGCTTTTGCAGTATGGTCTCTTCTATATCATATGGGGTAATTTATGGCTCAAATTGAGGGATAGGGATCCAGTATATAAAAGCAACTTGTGATCTATGCTGCTTTTAATGGTATTATACTTTCTGATGATGCCTTGGAAAGAGTTATGTAAAGGTAGGTATAAAATGTAAGATTTAGAAAATGATCTTGAAATGGCAATATCAAGGGTTTCCTCCCATGAGATATCCTAAGACCCAATATTTGGATCTTTTGTACAAATATCTAGAAACATAAACTGCCTTAATTTAACATTTCAGTAATATTAAAATGCTATGAATTTCAATAGGTTTGGTCAATCTACTACATGTGGGGGGAACTTCTCCATTTCTGAGGAATTTACACTATCAGAATAACTGACAAATGATTCAGAGAAAAAAACCCAAGGATTCTTTTAATAGAGTTTTCATAAAATCCTTAATTTGTTGTACTCTCTGCTTTGCCTGTAAACCTGCAAAGAAAATCAGTCCTAAACAGCATCCAACACTTGGAAACAATCCTTCCATTCCAGTGCAAAACAAATTCTTTCTTTTTTTACTTAACAGCTTGTTACTGAAAGAAACGGGGAAGTCTTCTGTCTGTTTTACACTTTTCTCCTTTAAACATCTGGATTAAGGAAACAAAATTTTGGGTGGAAATCTGTATCTTAAATTGTTATTTATATTGTATTAGCACCCAGAGGCTCCAATAGGGATCAAGGCCCCATTTGTAGTAGGTGCTTTGCAAAGACACAGTCCCATCCCTGTAGAATTTACAGTCTAAGGCAAGATGTGACAAGTGAATCACAAACAATAGGAGGGGAGGGAGGAGTATAGTCTATATAACTGTGACTTATTACTGTATAGGTATTTTTATGGATCTTATCAATGTAATATCTGTTTACCTTCATGCAGCATTTGATGGTTCTGAATTAAACACTTCAATTGATGATCACTAGCATTTCAGAAAACCTGGCATTCAAACACCATAGTAGATTAATCTCTGGTTCTAGTCATGTCAGAAGCAAAGAAAGTCAGGAGGAAGCAAGCCAGCAATAAATATATTGTTATGCTAAAATCTTAATGTTTTGTGAACAAGCAATGCTACACCCATTGTCAAAGCAGTGTAATACATATGCTTTCAGGATCGGTAAACTTTTCTAAACCTTGGGCTTGGATCATTGATCAGAAAGCAGAGTGTTTTAATATGTACCTGAAAGAGTACCCATTTGTGAAAGATATATTTTATGATAATTATTTTACATATAAGCCTAAAGGACTCCTCCATTCCCAATAGCTCTTTTGACCAAATCCAAATGTTGTAACATCACAAGATACACACGTGCTGTCTTTTGATCCCCCTGGAGTTAAATGGATGGTCAATTTATGAATATCTGTCTGTTTAAATAATCCCTAACAAACATGCATCAGTTTAAAATATGTGCTAGTAAGAATTATAGGAAAAATGATTTTCAGATTTAATATTTCAGTTACGTACTTGCCTGGGTTAGTGCTGTCACTTTCTGCAGAATACACCGCTATTTCGATATAACACGACCCGATATAACACGTATTTGGATATAACGCGGTAAAGCAGTGCTCCGAGGGGGGCGGGACTGCGCACTCCGGTGGATCAAAGCAAGTTCAATATAACATGGTTTCATCTATAACGCGGTAAGATTTTTTGGCTCCTGAGGACAGCGTTATATCGCAGTAGAGGTGTATAAGGTTTTGTTTAAAAAAAAAAAAAATGTTTCTAGCTCATCTGGTTAAGAAAATAACCTTCCAAACACAAATCAAGTTTAAGTTGATGCAATGCCATCTTTTTAAGTCTGCATACACATAGTGTAGTGCTTTTGCTTCTAAGAGCTTCCACAAGCTGCAGCAGAATGAAAACTGACTACAGTTTTGTGAGTTTACAACTGTCATTCAAATCCTTCTGGCCAGCAATGAAACTAAGAAGAATGAGGTCAATTTCATTTTGCTGTATTGTTGGAGATCGAGACACAAACAACGGATAAGACACAGGAATTATTACTAAGGCTACATTTTAGTCACAGGTATTTTTAGTAGAAGTCATGGACAGGTCACGAGCAGTAAACAAAAATTCACAGCCTGTGACCTGTCCAGGACTTCTACTATATACCCCTGACTAAATCTTGGGGGGGGGAGGGGCAGCTATGGGGGGTGCTGCAGATGCTGGGGGGAGGGAGGGGAGTGCGGGCAGCAACGCGTGGCCTGGCACCTCTGCTGGTGCTGGGGGTGGGGTAGCGGGGTTGTCAGGCAGGGCTGTTCTTACCCATACGCAAAGTACACAGCTGCATAGGGTACCGGGACATGTGGGGCACCAAATTTCCTGGTGCCCTGCGCAGCTGTGTGCTGCTCCAGCCCCTGCTCTGGCTCTTCCCCAGGCCCTCCACCCTGCTCTGCCCCAGCCCCACCCCCACTCTCCTGAGCTCTGCAGCAGGGCTGGGCCTGCACTCACCAGTGGTGGGAAGTGCAGTGACCCAGCCCCAGCAGCGCTGCCGGTGAGTGCTGGG